TAGTCTACATTGGCAGCACTTTAACATGCCTTGTGTGGTCACGGCGCAGCGCTGGGAGAGAACTCTCCCAGCACTTTAAAAAAATACACCTCAATGAGGGGCGTAGCTCCCAGCGCTGGGGCACTGTTTACACTGGCGCTTTACGGCACTGCAACTTGTTGCGCTCAGGGCAGTGTTTTTTCACCCCCCTGAGCGAGAAAGTTGCAGTGCTGTTAAATGCCAGTGTAGAAAAGCCCTAAGTTACACAGAAGACAATTCATGTGCCAGAAAGCAGATACACCAACAAGAAGGAAGACATCCTGGATCTACTGATAAGGAGAAAATCACTGAGTACATGTGAATAACAGGGAAGCATGGAACCAGTGACTGTGCACTAACTGAATTTAGCATAGAAATAAATGGATTCACAGAATACAGAAGTACATGGGTGTCAAATTTCAGGCATGACCATTTTAGCAAATTAAAAAAAACAAGCCAGTAAGATGTAATGGGAAGAAGTGGCATTGAAAATTTCTGGGTTACTCCTAGAGTGACCAGATAGCAAGTGTAAAAAACTCGGGACAGGGGTGGGAGGTAATAGGTGCCTATATGAGAAAGAGCCCCTATAAAATCGGGACATCTGGTCACCCTAGATACTCCTAAAAGACATCAGACCCACTACATTACCTCTGATAAAAAGACTGTGGAGTACAAGAAATGGCCAACATGGTATTACAAAGGGCAGCTCAAGCAATATCAGATTTTAAAAAATGTTCTGGAAACAAACAAGGGAGACAACAAAGCAAAGACTTAGTCATGTAGGACTTATAAAGAAAGTACAGGCAAGCAAACAACCAAAATGAGCTTGTTAGCCAAATAAATTAAAGGGGATTAACTGCGGCTTTTACAGGTATACAATATCAGGGGTGAGGCGGAAATACTGCAATACTAAAAAGAGAGTCAATCCATAGATAAATTAGGAAGATTAATTTAATGACTAGTTGAGATACTCCTTTTATGAAATTTCCCTTCAATGAGATTAAAAATATATATATTTGAATGATTAGAAAGGAAGGAAGACTCTGTAAATATAAATTAAGAACAGGTGAAACCGGTGAAAGAATATTTGAATATATACACATAAAACTGTCCAGATTATATGCATTCTAGAATCCAAAGGACATTAGGAAACAAATTACTCTACCATTAAGAATTAGATCTAAAAATCATGTAGAAATAGAGATGTAACCGAAAACTAAAATAAAATAGAAGTAATATTAATTTTCAAAAAGGGAAAAAAGATCGATCCTGGCAATTACATTGATGTAAATGTAACAGCCAGTCCTAGCTAACCAATAGAACATTAAGAAGCAAAAAACAAAGGTACTTAGCTAGTGGAGAATGGACTACAAGCGTTGAAATCACAGAATCATAGAGTGTAGGAGAAATACATGAGTTTACAAAAAATAATTCTTGCTAGAAAAAACTTACTCTTTTTTATTAAATACGTACAATATTTGCTCTTAAAGGGAACACAGTAGATGCAATATATTTTAATTCTGATTAAGCACTAGATACTGTGTCTCCTAAAATCATACTTCAAAAACTTCATGAATGACTGAAAACTATCTGAATGACTAGGGAAATTAAATGGGAAATGATAAATAGCAGTGACAGTGGAGGTCAGCTACACCATCACTAACTTCTGTGATATATGTAACCCTCAAGGAGATTACCTAGATTCCAGGGGCTCTGTGTGCTGGTGGCTTCCCAAGCTGCCCTGGTGACCCTGCCAGGAAGGAGCAAGGGGAGTGGAGGCACTGCCAAATAAATTCATATAGGAAGAAAAAGAAGGTGCACCCTACTGAGTGGGTAGCGGGATTCAGACGAACCCAGGACTGTCAATCAAAACGCGTAAGGAGATTGGCACTAAAGGGGGTAACCAGGTGGATAGGGGGGTGCTACACTGGAGGTACTGTTGGGATCCCATATTTTAAACTCAGACCTTAAATTTACCCTTGCTGATTTCCCAGGGAAATTGAATAAATTTCCAGTATGGATTACCAGAAGAGGCTTGTAACTTGGTGTGAGCTGGAGGCAGCCGACCCTGAAAACCACTTCATACTCACTAATGTACCCAAGTTAGACAAATCGAAGATGAGACTGAACCCTGCAAGCAGGCCTGGAGCTCACCAGCCCCCTTCCCCCAGCCAGTTCTACTAGGGTTACCATTCGTCCGGATTCCCCTGGACATGTCCGGATTTTTGAGCTAAAAATAGCGTCCGGGGGGAATTTGTAAATGTCCGGATTTCTCCCCCCCCCATGCAGAGCGCGCATGGCTAACAGGGCAGCCGGACGGATGGTGCCACTTACATGAGGCTCCGAAAGCCAGAGAGAGCCCCCCTCCTCTCCCCTGCGGCAGAGATCACTCCCTCCCTGCATTTGCAGATCGCCTCCGGCAGTCTGGAGCTCCTCCCCCGCTCCTACTCCCCTGCCAGCCAGCCTGCCGGGACGGGCGTGCCGGGACAAATGGCTCAGGCCGTTCCTGAGCAAGTTCACAGAGACATTAGGCGAAGGCCAACAACAAGGGGGCCAGGGGGTCGGAGAAGGGGCAGGGAGGTCCTGGAGGGGCCCGTCAAGAGACGGGGTGGAGTCG